TTTTTTTTTTTTTTTTTTCTATTTAGTAAAAATAAAAAAAAGAAGAAACATCTCTTATTATGGTGATTCTTGGGGATATTTTTCTCTTGTTTCTCTCACATTTTTTTTTTCTTTTTGTTTCCTTTTCCTTTTCTCTCCTGGTGCAAATAGGTGAAAAGACCTACTAACGCGAATTACCGTTGCAGGAGGGGGTTGTGTTTATCCTACTGCTATCTGTGATTTATTCTCAGGCGTAAGGATTGAAGGGTAGTCTGAGTAATATATATATATATATATATATTACACAAGAGGGAACTGATGGCGTCCAGCCCGGCGGTAAAGCGTCCGCGAGTGGAACAATGCCCCAACTCCAAACCGTGGGTGGAAAAGTACCGCCCAAAGTCACTGGACGATGTGAAATCGCAGGAGGAGGCGGTGCGAGCATTACGCGCCAGTCTTAACCGCGGGGCTAGCATGCCACATTTTCTCTTTCACGGCCCACCAGGTACTGGTAAAACAACTGCTATCCTTGCTGTGGCACAGGAGTTATTCGGTCCTGATTACGTACATAGCCGTGTGCGAGAGTTAAATGCAAGTGATGATCGTGGTATTCAGGTTATTCGCGAAAAGGTTAAAGTTTTTGCCCAGACGGCCGTTGGAAATGTGGGGCAGAAGGTACAGTCTGATGGTAAGGTATACCCTGTTCCACCATTTAAACTTATTATTTTGGATGAGGCTGATGCTTTGTTGCCGGACGCACAAGCTGCATTACGTAGAATGATGGAAGACTTCAGTGATGTGACTCGCTTCTGTATTCTTTGTAATTATGTTAGTCGTATTATTGATCCTATTGCAAGTCGTTGTGCAAAATATCGCTTCAAACCTCTGGTAAAACATGCTTTACATGAACGCATTCGTGAAATTGCTCAGATGGAGCAATTAGAATTATCAGATGCCTCTTTAGAAGCTTTAGATCGTGTAAGCGGTGGAGATTTACGATCGGCTATCATGTTCTTACAGTATGCACAAAAAGCACATGGAAATGATCTCACACAAGAAGATTTCGTAGCAGTTTCAGGTGGTGTTCCAACAGATATTATGCAAAAATACACATCTGCACTTGTTTCAAAAAATTTTGATAACATGTATGCTATGACGAAAGATCTTGTAGGACAGGGTTACCCTGCTAGTCAAGTTCTCACACAGCTACAGCAGTTCATAGTTAGTTCAGCTTGTCCTTTGAACTCGGCACAACGAGGAGCCATTGCTTTGAAAATTTGTGATGTAGAAAAGCGCATCACAGACGGTGGAGATGATCTTTTGCAATTATTAGATTTGGGTGCTGCGATATGTTCGGTTTGACTTGGTGAAAATCCTGAGAAGGAGAATAAATGAAGAAAAAAAGAAGAAGAAAAAAAAAAAAAAAGGTGAAAACATACTTGAAGTGAGTAAGTGAGTGATGAAGCTGAAAATCACAGAAGAATATTAATGTGTGTATGGTAGTTTAATTAGCTTGGCTGATGATAATAGTAAAAATAATGTGATTGTTAATATATTTCTGCCTTATATATATATATATATATATATATATATTGTATATCAAGTATTTTTTTTTTCTTTGGTTGATTCTCTATTTTTAATTTATCTTAACTATATTTACTAATGAAGAATTTGCATTAAGTGAAAGAACAAAAAACAAAAGGACATCTTCTCTTAGATATATCTGTATATATATATATATATATATATATATATATATATATATATATATATATACGTATATACATCAACAACTAGGCCTTTTTTCGAAGGGGGAGGATATGGCCAAATTGAATAATTCACGGAATACGGAGTTGACCTCTTCTAAAGGTTCAAAAACCCCAACAAAAAATGAAAGTACCCCCTCCAAGTTGGTGAACAAGTCTCCAGAAAGCTTTGAAAATCCAATGTCTAGCAACTGCGACGAGAGAATTCTTTCAAATTCAGACTGTGATTCCTCTTCTAGTGATATGGTTGTACATATATCTACGATGATACGCCACCATTGCCTCAATACACGTAGTCCATCAAATACACGTAGTTCATCAGGTACACCAGCTCTAAGCACTCGTAGGAGAAGCTATTCCATCTCAGATGAGAAGACACTCTTCCCTCCAAGGCATATGATGGTAGAACGGCAATGTGAACCTGGTAATAAACGACCCGATTGGAATAGTAATCGAAGATATGTTGATGAATCACCAAAGGAGAAACTACCACGTATTCGTATTAAATCTCCAAATAAATATGAGTTTCTCCATCGCGGTAAGAGTGTCACACAATTCTCTAGAAAACCAACTGGTGTTGAAAGACAGGTTGTTTCTTGGTTAACAGAAAGTCCAATAAAAAATGTTAGAGGTAAGAAAATATCGAAAAAAAATAATGAAAATATTCTGCAAGCACTAAAACAGATAAACTTTAAAGAAGCATTTTCAAAGTTTAAATCTGGTGATACAGAGAACCCCTTTTTAAGGAATGCTGATGTACTTTTCAAAGTTTTCTCTATGCGTACTGATTCAATTACAGAAGAAATGCTTTATGATCATTTTCTTATGTTTACACCAACTGGTGTAGCACCATATGAAGCATTTGATTTTCTTAAGGACTCTTGTGATGGTAAAAAAGAACTTAGTTTTGAGGATTTCCTGTGCTATGGTGATAAATTACGTGAACGCTTATGCGCATTTGAAGATTTTACTTCATTAACTGATCAAGATAAAATAAATACAATTTTAACACGGGTTTTAAATGATGGAGTAAGGCCAACAGAAATGAAAAAAGCTCGAAATATGCTTTTGAAATATGCAGAAGATCAGCAAAATGGTCAAGTGAATTCTGCATGTAAATCTATGCGAGCATATGAACTCTCCTTTCTTGTAGATATGAAAAAAAAGAATGGAACAACAAAAGGGAATAGATACTCATCTCATTTAGGAGGTAATGGACGTTTTAATAATACTCCAAAAAGAAATCCCTCCTCGGATGGGCGTCCTTCTAGCCACGTTGGAAATGGAGAAAATGCGTATTATAATAATAATAATAATAAAAAGGGAAATATGAACGGCCAAAGATGTGGTTCTGCTCTATTGTATGATTTCTCTGTTGGCGCAGAAAATAATAATAATAATAATAATAATAATAATAAGTCAAGCCTTGGAAAATAACATGAGTCATTTGTTAAAGAAGAGTTGGTAGATGTTTCAATTACCTTGACAAGCCATAGTTTCGGGATGGTTCGCGTGATATATATATATATATGTATATATCATTAATAGGTCATATTTCATCAACACCAATACTTTATTTCTTCCAGTAATGATCTGGAACTACAAGACCCTAATTCCCCATGTTGAGAGACGTGCATGAAAAGATAATAATAATAAAAAAAAAAAAAAAAAACAGCAATAAGTTCAAAGTTTAGGGTGTTAGTGTAAGTTCATTTGTATTGGTACTGCGAGAAATATGAAATCACGCGTAACGTGAAAATATATATTTATATATATATATATATATATATATATTCCTTTTGTAGATGCCTCTTATTCCTGAGGTTTTTTTTTTCTGTACATGTGTCATATTTTTCTATTTATTTATTTTTGTTGTTTTTTTCTGGTAGTGTATTCAAGCGTCTGAGGGAGAAACATCACTTAATTATGTTTGATTGCATAAGCAATCCCAAAGTTTTTTTTTTTTTTCCTTTGTATCTGTATGTAGAGTATGGATGTTATTTTTCCAATTGCTTTAATCGTTGTGTCGTTTTTTGGGTTTTTGTTTTTCTAACGAATGAAACAGGAATACCCTCTTCTTGAGTTTTTTTTTTCGGAGTTGTTTGTTTATTTGTTTTATATTCCTTTCTCCTTGCATTGTTTTCCCGAGGTTCCACAGAGTATTTTTTTCTTTGTTGTTGTTTTGTTTTCTTGTTTGTTTTTTTTCCTTTGTTACTATTTATTTGCCTATTTTATTTTATTTTTTTTGCACGTCTCAGAGTGAGAAGAGTGGAAGGGAAGAGTCCTTTAAGTTAGGAAATTCGCATCAAAACACTTGTGATTGAAGTGGATTTCTCCGTCTTTTTTTTCCTTGTGTGTGTATGCGTGTGTTTTCCTATGGCCTCGGTTTTCTTTTTTTATATTTTTAATTGATTTTTTGAAATACAGTACTCTTACTTTCTCTTTCTTTGTATATGTATTACTTGTTTGCATGTGTGTGTGTGAGTGTTTATTTTTATTTTTATTTTTTTTTTTCATCTTTGTTTTCACTTTTTTTTTCCTCCTTTTTCTTCCTTTAAAAACTTCACTTGACTCGTTTTTTTAAGAATAAAAGGACATGTCTTCAAACCCGCCAGGTGAGGATAATGTCGAGTTCAATACGGAGATGGATCCGGAAGCCGAACTGCAGGAAATGCAGCGTCAGGTGAATGACCTAAAGGAGGACATCCGCCTAAAATCGCTGCAGGAGAACGCGGCCCAAGAGGAGGGACATCGCAAGAGCGCCGGCGCGCCCCCTGCGAAGAACACATCCATCTTTGTAAGTGGATTGGATGCACGGACAACGGAGGGTGATCTTCGTGTTTTCTTCGCCGCGTGTGGAACCATCAAGCGTCTTACTATGTTGCGTGATAAATTTACAGGACAACTGAAGGGCAACGCGTATATTGAGTTTGACACAGCAGAGCAGGCCGCTGCCGCCATTGTGAAGAACGGACAGCCGCTGCACGGCAAGCCACTCACCGTGGCCGTAAAGCGTGATAACATTCCAGCGTTTCAGCGTGGAAGAGGCGCAGGCGCATTTCCCCGCGGTGGATTCCGCGGCGGTGGTGGACCAGCTGCAATGCAGCAACAAATGGCAATGGCAGCAACAATGATGGCGGCAAGTATGATGGGTGGCGGCGCACCTTTCAATCCCTTCGGCGCACCACCGCGCGGCCGTGGACGTGGACGAGGACGAGGGGCACCACACTGATCTCTCCTCTTTGTCTACTGTCGTCATTCTTCTCGCTATGTCCCTGACAAAACTCTCTCTTTTTTTTTTTTTAAACTCTCTCTTTCTGTGGATATATATATATATATATATATATATATATATATATATATGCGTGTGTGTCTGTGGAAGAGAGAGAGTGAAGGAGGTGGGGAAGAAGAAAAGAATGATTGAGAGTTATAGGCGAAATGAAAGAAAGAAAAAAAAAAAAGGAGGTTGTGAGACGTTTTCATTCAAATAAAAAAAAAACACCTATCTACACTTCTCTTTCTCTCCCAGAATATTCAGTATGAAACGGGGGAAGTAAAAAAAAAAAAAAAAAAAAAAAAAAAAAAA